AGAAGGAAGGAAGAAAAGAAAGAAAGAAAAAAAGAAGGAAAGGAAAGGAAAAGAAGGAAGGAAAGAAAAAAGAGGAATAAAAGAAAAAAGGAAGGAAGAAAAGAAAGGAAAAGAAGGAAGGGATAAATGAATTTAAAGTGGATCCAAGAGAAGAAGCTTAAGGAAAATAAGAATTTCATCCAATCCATTTATCAACCAATCAACAAGCATTTCCTAAATACTTTCTATGCACCAGGTACTCTTCTAAGCACTGAGTATAAGAAGACAAAAGTAAAATAATCTCTTGAGAGGCTTACATCCCACCTGAGAAGAAACATGTAAGGTTAAATAAAGCAACCATTAATAACTGCAGGTAATTTGCAGTGCAATTGGAGGGGCTTCTAATTTACAAATTACAAATTTACAAATTACAAAGCCAGGCTTAGAATCTATCAGACTGTAAATCTGACCACATTCCATGATGTTTAGTTCCCAAAATTGTATGTAAAAATTTGCCCTCAGAAGAAAACATAAGGAAGAACAAGAGAGAAGCGCAGGCAAACAGGACAGCTTTGGAATTTATAGGTGGAATTTATTACATGATTAAAAAGGAAAGCAAGTTGTAAATAATAGAGATTGCAGTGTCATGTACAATGCTCTTTTTCGATTCTACTATGTATATGGAAATTTCAATTTTATTCAGTGTTTGTTAAGTTCGGAATAACAAATCTTTTTTTTTTTTTTAAAGAAAAAAGAGGAAACAGCTCAAAGAACAATTTGTCAAATGGAGGAGGAGGAGGCCACTGTGGTGGTGTAGTGTGAATATGAAAAGGCAATACTTAAAAAGAATTAGACAGTATTCTATGAATAACCATGTTTTAATCTACAGTAGTTCTTTTTCATTTTTAATACAGTCTTATTAAATATTCTGACCACTTAAGGGAAATAGATCTTGGCAATAATGTTCTGGGAGAAATTGCTGCTACACATATACTGGAAGCATTAAAGGAGAGAAACAAAGGTAAAGTGTTTCTATTTCCTTATCCTACTGAATTCCTCTATTTTAAAATTTTTGCATTATTCACTGCTTTATAATCCTTTTTGCTTACAAAGCAATGGACTGAGACACAAGATGGTTCAAAAGGGCTACCATGAACTGGCCCCATTTTGCTTGATTTGCTTGTTGATTTGAAAAGTTTTACAATTCGTTAGTTTTATTTCTCTTTCATTTTTCAAAGGCCTCTATCTATTCTGTGCTCAATCTCCTCACAAGTATCTTGAAAAGACATGGTAAATTCATGTTTATTTAGACACAAAACACCCAGAAAGCTAAAAAAAAAAAACTAGTGTTCTCATAATACGTAAAATGAGAACTAAGGTTCATTTCTTATGGCCCAAAAATACTGTAACGTGTTCCAGTACCCTCTGAATCATCAAAGTATGGTAAAATTGTGTTCAGCTTAGCTTGTGTTAAATGTATTTTATTATTGAATTCCAATTCTTTGAAAACTGATAATATACATAGATATAGTATACAGAGTAAGACAACTGCTATTTTTGTGAGGATTCTTCTTGGCTCGGCTAAATCAGGAAAGTAGCATAGAAGACAAAAGATGATATCACACTTGCCAGTGCAGGGTGGGAGCAAGGAACCTAAACATGGAAATTAAATGGCTACTATTAAACTCTGAAAGATAGCACAGCCTTGTACATAATAGGCACTTGATATATGATTGTTTCCTTCCTTTGGGAAAGATGGATTAAATAGTCAATTTCCTCACCTGGCCCTATATCTTGTCTCCTGATCCAGTAGTGATCAGTAGTGACTATCCAGCTTATTTGCAAGGCACAATGTCTAAAGTCCAGGCATCCAATATGAGGCCTGGAATTCAAAAGGAGCCCAAATGTTCAGGGAGTACCTACTCAAGATATTTACCCCATTCCCCAAAACTGTTTACTTAATTTGTAAACATGAGTTAGTAAGTCTGTCTGACTGGCTAACTGTCTGCTGCTATCACTGCATAATCTCAGCTCCTGTTGGGTGTTATTCCAGTGGTCAGTTTTATAAGTATAATTGTTTAAAAGAAATTCAGCCTGCATTTGTTTGAATTTTTAATTTTGTGGCCCACAGGTGAAAAACCTTTGTCTAAGCTTAGTTCTTTGAAGCACCTTGTCTACATTTAGGACAATTTCTGGGGAGGAGAGAAGTGGTCCATGGAATAGGAATTTGTGGAATTTGTGAGCATAGGTTCACAAATATTCTATGTGTAGATGACAAAGTAAAAGATTAACATACATGATCTAGTTGTCTTGTTTTTTTCTAGAAAAATAAAACAGAAATAATTATATGTATACATATATATATGTATGTACATAATAGTATGCATACATACTATGTATACATTACTTTTTATACCAAATTAAAGCCCAAAAAAAGCCCTTTGGAACAAAATCATGGTTGATTGGAAATTGGGAATCATGAGACTTGAGCTCTTCTACTAGAAATGCCACTGGGTCAATCAATTCATATCTGGCTAACCTAGGAATTAGGAAGAACTAGGTTCAAATCTAGCCTCTAATATTTACTAGTTTTGTAATCTTGGGCTCTTAACCTCTCTGATGCTGTTTCTTCATCTGTAAAATGAGAAAGTTGGATAGGATGACTTCTAAGTCTATGACCCTATAAGCTTTAAAAATAAATGTTTAGAATCGATATATTTCTATTCAACAAATAAAAAACATGTTTGACACACACAACAAAAATGAGAAATGGATCCTGCCATCATGATGCTTACATCCTACTAGGAAGAATACAACATGTACTAATCCAGTAAAAATACAAGGTAATTTGAGAAGATATGAAACATTAGCAACTGGGGTGGAGGGCAGGGAGGGGAATCAGGGAAGTATTTACAAGGAAGTTGACAACTGACCTGAGCTTGAAGGAGAAAGTAGAAGGTCTGCACGGAAGGGGACCCACATCAATGCTAGAGAACAGATCCACTGGGAGAGTTGATTCAGGTCACCAGAGATCATAGGGGAGCATTTGCTTCCAGGGCTCCAAAGTGAATTGAGTATTTTATCTATGTGCAAGAGTAGGAGGTGCCACATTCCTCCCACCTGCCTTCTTGGTATAAATTTGGGAGACGCAAACATCTCCCATAAAGATATTAGGGCATATTAAGCAAACATTTGTGATGCATATATATTTTATTAGACATATTAATACATAACCCATATGATTTGGGGTAAAATTGGAGAGGCTTCTCATTTGTGGGTCAGATTTGAAAGACATCAAGCTTAGAATC